GGGCTTCCCGCCTAAACGCGCCGTCTCGGGTTGTCCCCGAGAGGCAGGCACCCCGGGGTGTGATGAGCGCGGGGTCTGCACCCTCGCCCGCGGGGGACACAAACCCAAACCGTCGCCAGCACGTCCGGACTGTGCTATTGACAAACTGAAATACAAGTCCTTGGAACTTCCGAGGCCGTCGGTCCTGATGCATCTCACTCGATGCACAACCGAACATTCCCTGTAATCTTTCGTCTCCTGACCTTTGGATTAAAAAATCTGCTTTTTAGGTTTGCCTTTTTGTTGTTCTTCTTGGTTTCTCCCAATCCAACGGGCAATTACAGCTGTCTAATTGCTCCAGGGCTGTTTCAGAGCAGAAACGTTCATCCTGCCTAAGCCAATTTTTTAAAGTTTCCTCTACTTCACTGCAAAGTGATGCTACAATTATTCCTGCAAACACTGAAATTGTCTGGGCTTTTTCACAGGTATATAAACTAAATGCTAAAATATCCCATTATAAACACTTGCAAGACTTCTGAACTGCACCATCCGGGTAAATTTGGTGTCTCCACCAAAGAACTCACCACAGAACTCGCCAGATGGTCAGTTTGAGAGGAAAATTCAATTAAACAGCAAACCTGGCAGGCATAACAAATTTCTGCTCACCTCAGCATTGCCAGATCTAGGTTATAAGTTAAAAAATACAAGCAGAATCTACAAGCATACAATGTATGAGAAACAGAGAAAGGAAATAGAAAAAATGGAGAAGGAATTCTGAGAATAGTAAAAATGTCATTTTTTACCTTTTTATAGGGACAGTTTTTAGAGTTTAATCTTAGCCCAGAAGTTCTACATAAACAAGCTGCCAGCTCACTAGAGTTTGAAACTTTCAGACCTTTTCTGCAGACGTAACAACATCACTCATCTCACTGAGGCCTCATCTATCCAGGCACATGGAATTCTACAGAATCTTGCAGTGCTGCTGGATTTGAGGGGGCCAAGTTCTACTCAAACGTGTCTGCGGGCTTGAGATCCATATCCTTTACTCTGAGAACGAGTCAAAAACCATTTTCTCCTTACTTCAAAGACATGCTAGAACTTCATCATTCATCAAACCTAGGTGGTGTTTTCCCTCTATCAAGCTCCAGGGATCTGAGCACTCTCCTAAACCACCTTCATGTTTGTTAATTACTGTTTTCTGTGGTTAAGTTTAGGATCAATACAGAATGTTTTTAAGGACACTTTTCCATCTTTAAAGCTAGGCAACATACCTGGCTGCTGCCTCTTTCTTCCCATCTTCTAGTGTTCTCCAATGAATGTGATCTCCAAAACCTGCCAGAAATAAGGGTTTATAAATACTGCATAATTTAACATGTCAACTAACAGATGAAAACAATAATAATAATATTTTCAACTACTTTTATATTAATTTTTAAAAAGCAAACTATAATCCTAGTCCCTGAAAGACTTCTGCAAACACAATCTACATAGTCTTATGTGGAATCCCACTGAAATTAATTAACACAAACATATCACACTCATAAGTATTTATACACATATATGCCAAAATCCCCCAAACAGTGGTTAAACTTGAAGAGCCTTCTGATTCTTCCCCATTCTTTTCCAATCTGTGAACATTTATTAACTGATTAGTGATAAACTAAACACGTCAGCGTTTGGCTTCCTAAATCCCACTGAATGCAAAACTCAGAAATTCCTAAGACAGCCTATCATAATTGCCCTAAAACTATTATGCTGACAATAATTATAAGAGTAAGAAAGAATGCCACTACACAGGTTTCAGATGGTTACAGTGACTGAACGACACAGGGAATACTTTATCCCGTGCCCAGATAACAAGTGTTGTTACACCAGTCGAGGTGAGAGTGACAGAGTGTATGTTTAACCCTGCAAAGCAGGGACTGCCTGTTTTTTTGACCCTGTAGCCAGCACAGCACTACCTCACACAGCTGGAAGCCAGGCAGAGAGCTGACAGGAAGGACATCCAGGAACTGTGCAGAGGGGAAATCCCCTGGAAGACCTCCTCAGAGGTCTCCTTGCTCCAGTAATGCAGGGCTCTGATGGATGACCAAACATCAGCCCTGACTTGCCAACACTGAGAGTCTGGATTAGTCGGTGCCCAGGGTGCTGAGGGGCAGATTTTGGGAGCTACACGGGGCTCAGGAGCCACACGCTGCCCACTGCTGACACAGGGGGAAGTGGACATTGGCTCAGGTGGACAACTATGGCAAAGAAGCTGGAGAAAGCCATGAATAGGGTCGGCAAAACCTTGTGGCATCCTAGTTCAGCATCCGGGAGGTTTCAACTGTTGGCACAGCATTTTTATTACCTTACCTCTCCTCCTGATATGAACAACTGTGAACACATATGACGCAACACATCAAATATTTAGTTGTGCTAGTAGTAAGGTGGGGATGCCTTGTCTGTGTCCAATCACACACACGCTCCAGCTGCAGGGGCAGCTTCAGAGACAAGACTGTTTGCACCAACTGAACGTAGCAGACCCAGAGACAGTTGGGTTGGCAGAAGTCATGTTTACTCAGAATACCTACACGTCAGCTACTTTACTCAAAGGTCAACGTGTTAAATCAGGGAAAACCTTCTATTGTTCTAGCTAGGAAAGACTCTTTGAAAGGTTTTCTTTTTCAAAACTAAGACCCACTTCGTTTCAGGGTGTGTTTTTAAAAGCATCACACAACACGTTATACGGCGCGTTTCTTTTGAATGAAACCAACGGCAGCATTAACTGCAGAATGAAAGGGGAATGACTGGGATCCGCGCCACAAAAGCTTTGCCGGCATCGATCAAACTGCACTACTACCAGCCCTCCAGGGGAGGTTTATCTCCTAGACGGGCTGAAGCCACCACCACCTGTGGTGCAGCTCAGCTCCCCTGGCCGCACCGGGCTGTCAGACCCGGCCCTCACACGGGGAGGGCTCGGACAGGAGCCGCAGGAGGGGCGAGCAGCGGTGAGGAGGGAAAAGAGAAGCCGGGAGAGCAGAGCCATTCATTCATTCATTCACCGCCGGCCGGGAGCCAGGAGCCCCGGCAGGGCAGCTCAGCCCGGGGACACTGCGGGGCTGCACACACCGCTCCCCCACACCCCAAGACTTTCCCCACGGGTGCCCTCGAAAGGGAAACTCCTCGAGGTTTAGCCCGAACAACCCCAGGCGGCAAACATCGCCTAAAGGCCCCTCATCTTCCAAGTCACAAGGCAGCGGTGCCTCCCCCCCC